TAAGCTGCTTCCACAGCGTTGGGGAATATCATGTTGTGATTACAGGTTTCAGCAGCGGGCAGCAGGCTAAACACAAGACTTTTTAAAAGCTTTGTTAAAACACACAAAGCGGTGTAGATGTGGTCAGTGTGTGTTCGTGATACTACCGTACCTCCTGCAGTGCAAAATGCTAGTGTGTCTTGTTAAACTAAATTCTTCAGCTCTTAGAGTTTCATATTAAGGTTCTACAGAAGAATATATATTATTTGCACCTAGATTTTATGCCTTATTTAACTTTAAGTGGTAGAAACAATATTTGATTCATGATGTTAAACAGCTTTGAATTTACTAAAATAATCACGAAACAGAAGCCATTGAACAACATTTGTATTTCAGTTAATCGATGTACAGTGAATGTTCCTGTGCTCTACCTTGCAGTGGGATGCTCAGGACGGGGATGGTGGTCTGGGTCTCCTGTTCTCCAATCCTCAGGGTGCTGCTCGAACCAAACGTCAGCCTTTTGGCTGGAGACGAGGCCGGGCTCATACCGGGGTTCAGTCCCGTCTTTGGGGCCGGAGGATCGTCGCCAAAGAGCCGGCGTTTAACCAGAGAGCCAGCTGCTGGGGAGCTATACCTGTCGTGGACTGACAATGGGGAGGGAGGCACATCTGGAAAAGGGAAAAAGACAGAAAAAGTACATAAATAACCTGCATTCACAAAATATACTACATATCCAAACACACAGAGATGCACCTAAACGCCCACCTTTGCGTGCACTATCCAGACCTGATCTGAACTCCCTGATACGAGGGTGGATAATGGGGGAGAGGGTGAGCAGAGGCAGATAGGACGGCCCTCCACTGGTGAGACCAGAACCGCTGTCAAGATTGGAGGAGAAATTCACCTAGAGATGAAAGAGTGGGAGAAGGCGAAGAGAGTGAGAGGAAGTAGCTGCTCGCTCTTTTCCAGATTGTCACAACAGATATTTTGTGCATGTGTGCGTTTGTCTGAGTGTGTCCTGCTGACCTCCTCTACTGTGGGGACTCTGTTCTCAGCAGCCTGCAGGGCACTCCACAGGGCAGAGTCTGAGGTCCACGCTCTGCTCTCCAGAACCTGCTCCTCGATTGAGTTCAGGTGCTTCACCATGTCTCTGGACAGACCTTCCTCTGAGCGGATAAACACCTCGATCACCTACAAACATACGAACACAAAACAAATCCATTAAAACAATCTCACACACACCTGGAAAATATTACTGAGCAAAGCAGACAGGTTTTGTTTGAATCATAATTGTGATATACATTTCTAAAACTATTGTGATGGAGGCAAAGTTTTGTTTTAGGAAGCACAAAGGTACTGGCTGGACCTGAACATCTCATCAGCAAAGTGACTGGAGGTCTGTCGGATTTGGGCCACAGGTAACACGCCATGCATTCTTGTCAGCATTGGATGTTAAACTGCTTTTTAAACTTTTTTTTTTAAATCTATCAATGCCAACACACTCGTGGTAGAATCGGCGCTAAGGTAGAGCAGGCTATGTTAGCAACATGGGTAACCAAAGCACAACAGAAACTTATGGGCTGGAAGCCAGTCAGGTTGACTCGTCACACTGTGGCCGTAACATATACAGCTATAACACTCATCCCCCAACCAACGCAACGTTGTAAATCTCTGTGTGTGTGAGGTCACCTTATAGAAATAGAATGGGGCCAATTTGAAGACATTGATGATCCAGGGGAACGTCCTCTGGGAGCTGTAGGAGAACAATACCACCTCTAGACAACACGCCATCAGGGAACAATGGAAGATATCCTGCTCCAACAACACCTGACAATACACACACACATTTATTCAGAGGAAAACAGTACTTTTAAATATCGGTCCTGGCACCATTAAGGCCCCAGCACCATTTTAAAAGTATCGTTTTAACGCCAATATCAGAAAAAACCTCAACGATACCCAACCTTAGCTGCGGGTTCAACTGATTATTGTTAGGAGGTGAATTACTACGCACAAATGCTTTCAAACTGTCACATTATTGTAGGAAAATAAAAACGTATGAAACAAACTGAGGCTGCTGCTTACGCTCATGTCTTTGCCCTGCAGTCGTTTCATCTCCTGAACCATGACGTTCTCCAGGATCTTGTAGTAAAGGATCTCAGCCAGCTTCAGACGGTTCTCTGCAAAGTCTGACACAAAGCAAGAGTGAATCACTGAATGGCTTATATTCTGTCTTAAGGCCAAGGACCCAAAGATGTATCAAACTGTTTTTGTCCCAGGTTTTCTTGTTTCTCAAGAACATTTTATTTAGTTCAGTGATTACTGAACTGGTAGGACTGTGTGGTACCTATGTGAGAGCCGGGCGCGTCCTCAGAGTCTTTGGTGTAATGTTCTTTGAAGGTTTGTCCCAGGGTCTTTACTCTGGCCAGTATGGACTCTGTGGGGTCTCTGGAGCACAACCTGTAACGACCACACAGGACACAGTGTGGCTTTATAGAGTTAACAACATATGACAGAACATAAACTCTCTGAATAGGGTTAATTCACCACTGCCCAGTGCCATAGAGGGAGTATCTGGGGCTGATAATATTGCTGATCTGTGGAGAGAACACTATTCTGCATTGTTTAATTGTGTTAAAAGTGATCCCTATGTAGTGGGAAGCATTGCTAGTGAGGATGCTGTGGTGATTACTTCTAGTGAGGTGCGTCTAGCAATAATGCAGTTGTCTGATGATAAGGCAGCTGGTGCGGATAATATTACAGCGGAACATCTGAAGCATGCAAGCCCAAAGATTGCTGTGTTGCTTGCTTTGTGCTTCTCTGGGTTCATGACTCATGGTTTGCTACCTGATTCTTTATTGTCTGTTACCTTAGTGCCTGTTATGAAGGACAAAGCTGGCAAAGTTGGGAGTCTGGATAACTATAGGCCAATAGCTTTGGCCAGTGTTATATCTAAAGTTCTTGAGAAGATATTGCTTGATCGCCTGTGTCATTGTATAACAACCACACATAATCAGTTTGGTTTTAAATCCAAGCTGGGGACAGATCTGTGTATCTACAGTCTGAAGGAGGTAGCACAGAAGTACCTCAGACAAAACTCCTCGGTCTTGATGGGTTTTATTGATGCGTCCAAGGCATTTGATAGGGTTAATCACTTTAAGCTTTTGGATAAATTAAGCAAAAAGGGGTTCCTGATAGCATTGTAAGAATCTTGGCATACTGGTACTCTAATCAGAAGATGCAGGTTAAATGGGGTGGGACTATTTCAGCCTCGTTTGGTGTTTGTAATGGGGTGCGCCAGGGGGGGCTACTGTCACCAGCCCTGTTTAACTTATATATGGATGAGTTGTCTGAAGAATTGAATAAATGTAACACTGGATGTATGATAGGCCCTAATCTTGTAAATCATTTTATGTATGCTGATGATTTGGCCATACTTTCGCCCAGCAGTGCTGGTTTTCAGCAACTGCTGAATGTGTGCTCGGACTATGGATTGAAGTATGATGTGAAATATAATGCAGAAAAGAGTGTTGTACTGATCTGTCGGACTAAAGGGGACAAAGAACTTTGTTTGCCAGACTTTTGTTTGTCTGGACAAAGGTTGAGTGTCTGTAGAAAAACTAAATATTTAGGACATTTCATTACAGATCAGCTTTCTGATGATGAGGATATATATCGGCAGTGTCGCATTTTGTATGCTCAAGCTAATATGTTGGTTAGGAAATTTCACATGTGTTCTGCTAATGTTAAAGTTCATCTGTTCAGAACATACTGTACACCGTTGTATACTGCCCCATTGTGGTGTAAATATAAGGTAGCTACTTTACAGAAACTTAAAGTTGCTTATAATGATGCCTTGAGGATTCTGCTTAAGAAGCCTAGGTCCACCAGCGCCAGTCTGTTGTGTTCACAGGTCCATGTTAGTACCTTTCAGGCATTAATGAGAAACCTGATGTACAGATTTATCTGTCGTGTGAATAACTCTGAGAACAGTCTTATAATGATGCTGGCTAATCCTGGTTTTAGTGTAGTACGTTACCAATCCTCTCTGTGGAAACATTGGTATAAATGTCTTTTATGATTTTTATTTATTTATTTTTCTTTTCTTTTATTTCTTTTTTGTATGGACCTTGAGTCTGTTAATAGAGGATGATTATGATGATGAGTAATAGCTTTTCTGTTTTGTTTTGTCAGTCTTTACAGTGTCCCACTCCCTGGTATACCAGGTAAAGTGAAGGGATATTGCCCACAGTACTGATTTGGAAAGACAGAAATGGGGCGAATTCATTTGAGATTTCCTAGCCTGACATTACAGTAGTGAGACAGTAATTAGTGTAAAAACTATTTGTTGTTCTCCTCACATACATCCTTAAGTGTGATTTCTTTACTCTCTCCTTCAATGTATTTATTTTTCAAATTCTGTTACAGG